ACCTGCAGACACAGACACATGGTGAGAGTCAGTCAACAGGAAGAGCTGCAAACACGGATGTTAGGCAACAAAAGGTCAAATTAAAGGTCAAATAAAGCTACAATGTTTTGACATGAAAGGCATAATAACAAAAAGTTGGCATATTTCAAGAAGAAATTTGTAATATTTCCAAAAAAAACACTGTATGTTTTCAAGAAAATAGTTTGAAAAAGTTGTATTATTTAGAGAAAAATAATTTAATGTAAAAGCCAAATGTTTCTTGATTAAAAGCATAATATTTCAAGATTAAAGTCAAAATATTTTGAGATTAAAGTTTGAATATTTTGAGGGTACAGTTGGAATAGTATGACTTTATTATATCATTTTTCAGAACTATGAGACTTACACCACGAGTTTAGGTAACATTTGTAGATGGCTGGTGTGGGTGGGGTCAGATGACGTCAGGTGTGTTCTTACCTGTGAGCTGGCCGAGAGCAGCCAGGTAGAGCAGGAGGTGGAGCATGTTGGAGGAAGCCAGTCAGCTGACGGACATTTACATGCACACAAAGACCAGGTTACACAGAGAAATCAGGTTGCACAGGTAACTGAAGTGATTACATCCACTGTGACCTGGTTCCTGTTTGCAAAAGGTAAAATGTGAACGTAAAAGTGAAATGATGGAGAAGTAACTGCTGTCGCCACTGGATCCAGTTTCATATGGCCAGACCAACCAATCGGATATAAATAAACTTTGATTATTTGAATGTGGCATGTTTATGATTGGTCAAATTGACAAGGACAAAATAAAATACTTTTCAGTTATTTTTTTTTGGGGATGAAGCGGGACAGTTTGGTGGGGCATTGCCCCGCTGTGCTGAGCCTGGCCCATGATGTCATAAATGATTTATTTAATCATGATCCCTTAAGGTTTCCAAATGAATTAAGGTCAGTGATATCACATCAGTTAAAGTTATGATACTGTGAAGATGACTCTGACTGACTGACCTTTTTTTGGCTCCTGTGTTTCTTATATATTTGTGTATTCTGTGTAGACTTATCCTGTAGACTTACACTGGCTTATAAATAATGATATTCACAATTCTAGCATTCTTATCACATTTTTATACTTAACAGTGAAAGAAACAAAAAGAAAAAAAATGTTAGGAAAGAGAATGAAAAATAATAAAAGATAAAAAACAAGAACCACCACAAACATAAAACAGAAAGAACTGAAGGTACCACACTGAGTGAGCAGTCTGTGTTGTGTCTGCAGAGACAGCAACAGAGACCGTCATCTTACCTCCTGCAGGTTTTGTGGACGATCACAGGGACGATGCTGCAGGACTCAGGACTCTGAGGAGACAGTTTGATGTTTTTAGTGTAGGAAGCTGTGTTTTAGTCTAACATTTGTCCTGACTGTCTCCACCCAACACACAGATGACATTTTCACAGATTCTTGTAATTTTTCTGTCTCCACCAACTGGTTCTGTCATTTACTGATTCAACCTGCAGGGCACGACTTAAAAAACATTTACCACAAAAATGATAAGATAAGATGAGCTAAGATAAAATATCTTATTGATCCCTCGTAGGGAAAATTCAGTTTGACACAGCAGAACAAGGGCAGTTACATCAAAGAAAGACATTTCCATGAATACTTACTTATACATCAGAAATAAATAACAAATAAACTATCATAAGATAAAATAAGAATAACGACTCAATAAAAAATATCTGTGTGTCAGTGTTTGTGTGTTGTGCAGTATCTGTGGAGGAGACAGTTGTGTACAGTCGTGAGTCTCAGCCAGTGGAGGTGGGAGGTTCTGGGTGCTGTGGTGTTGTGGAGTCTGATGGTTGATGTGTTTTGAGGCTGTGACTGGATGAGTCTAATAATAATAATAATAATAATAATGATAATGATAATAATACATTTTATTCATAGAGCACTTTTCATACAAGAGATGTAGGTCAAAGTTTTTTTTACAGTAAAAAATCTAATGGTTCAATAAAATAAAGGCAGATTGGAGGACAATGAAAATAGATAATAGAAAGACAATAGGTGATAAAATATGAAAATGAGGATCGAACTATAAACCAGTAAGAATAGTAAAATATGAGACGATTCTTGTCTTGGCTGGGTGTTCAATAGTTTTGGAGCATAGTTTTAAAAAAAAATGCACTTCCTATTTTCTTGTGCATAAAGTTGTGTGTATTTAAAAGCCTGGCAGGAGAAGATCTGAGGGCTCGTCAAGGATTATAAAATGACCGAAAGTCTGCCGTGTCGGACGGTCCCAAACCATTAAGAGCTTTAAAAACAAGTAAAAGGACTTCAAACTCTATTCTAAAAGATCCTGGGACCCAGTGGAGTGACGCTTAAACCAGAGTTATATGATCTCTCATCCTTGAATGTGATTGTGATTGATTGTGTGATTTTTCGTAAATTCTGAGAAAATTCTACAGAGTTTGGTTGTGCAGAAGGAATCACGACGCTGGGACTGTGTGAGTCCACAGGAGGGATGATGACAGCAGCTTTTCTCTTATAGGTAAATGAGCAGAGTTGTGTTTGGGGAATGGAGTGGAGCTGGAAAACAGTTCAACGTGTCCTGTCATCAGCTGCGTGACTGATGAGAACCTGCAGGTTGTTTAAGTCTAATTACTTCATCCTCAGGGTGGAAGCCAGTGAGAACCGCTGGAGACACAGCAGACTTCAGAGTGTGTTACTGCATGAGAGTGTGTGTTTATGTGAGTAATGACAGGCATGTTTTAATACTGACTGATATCACTGTCAGTCTCTTAAATGGTAATGTGTCTGAACATGGACCATGATTTTGTATCCTGGTGTAATGATTTTGTCTCGAGATAAATGTGCCAACTAAAGACTAAAGACATGATCACTGGTTTTAGATGAATACAACCACAGGAGGTTTATTCAGCCACAAACACAGCTCAGTGTTATTGACCCAACCGTCGAGGACACACACACTGATGCTGTTTCTGAGGACAAACACTTGGAGCTTTTGTTTTGAGTCAGACACTGATCCTGATCCAGACAGAAAGGTCTAGCAGTTTTGTTTTTTCTAAGGAAGATGAATTCATCTGTGCAATGATGTTATGACTTTATTTTATCAGTGTTTTATTGATCTTACTGCATTGTGGCTTCATCTTGTTGCCTCAGTCTGTGAATAAAAACAGCCTGATTCTGAGCTCTGATCTCAGCATCATGGAGTCAGTCTGGAATCACAGGAAGAGACACTGAAACAGGTTCTCCAAGATACTGGAACTACCTACCTGACAAGAACCTGAAGAACTGTGTTCAGGTGTACCGAGGAGAACTGGAGCTGGTTTAAAGGCAAAGGGGGGTCGCAGCAAATATTGATCTGATTCAGATTTTTACTCTTTACTGAACTTTGGATGAAGTTAAATGAGAAATAAAAACTATTATTGACTTTATTTTTTCATAACATTCTAACTTTACATTTACTAGATAATATAAATAACCTTATGTCTCCTCATGAATTAATCTCAATGGTATCATGTCAGTGATGCTGTGATCCCTGAGTCATCACTGCTCTGAGCTCATGGTCATAAACTACCTGTGTAAAACTTAAGATAAAGGTTCAATACAAACTATAAAACTGAAAAACTTTGTTAAATGTTCTGCTTTACAGATGTGACCAAACTCCTCATGAGATCATTATATAACTTTTCATTTAAGGCACAGCAGGATCGTCCACCTGTTCAGTAACATCAACTCCAACAGGTGTAGTCTCAGTTAGTCTTGTTGTCCACACGGTGGCGCCCTGAGGACTAGAGTTGCAGTAACTCTCCCCTTCCAGCAGTTAAATGTTTCCTTCTTAGAATCTGAAATCTTGTTCTCCATCACTAATCAGCTTCCTCTCATTATCAGTTTCCCCCATGTTGCTAGGCAACACACCTGCTGTAAAAACAACGCTGCCTGTTGCAGTTGAACCACTGCTTCCTCTGTCTTCTGAAGCTCTCGGTTAATCTGGTTAACCTGGTTAACCTGGTTAACATTTCACAGATTTCAAACTTTCAAAGTCACTATTTTGGACATTGCAGCAGAATGTCTCAGTTTTTCTCAAAAGATTGAATTACAAAAGTAACTAATTATCTTTTCCACCTAAAGTTCAGTTTAAAACTTTTACAGGAACATACAGCAGGCTTTCTAACTGCTGCATTCACTGTGATGAAAATTGAGCCAGCAGATCATCACTTTAATGACTGAGTGGTTCATTACTGGTGTTTATAGGGAACTTGGTTTGACAGATTTTATAAGGCAAGAAATATTTTTTAGTCTCAGCCTGAAAAACCAAGGACATGAACTGATCCATTTGTCTAACTTTGTGTGGTAAATCTCTCATTATGGTTGTAGATTGTTATGTTCATGTTGTTAATAAAGTAGAACTGTGTGGAGAGAAAGACAAACTGACTGAAAATAGTTTTTATTTCATTTTTATTTTGTATATTCTTCTTTTTGTATTCTTATTTGAAACTTACATTTCTATCAAAGAAAATGTTTTAATATTTTTAAGAAAATAGCATGTTATAATTTTACAGCAAGATTTGAAAAAAAATGATTTTATTAAACTGATAATAAATCTTATATTTCTTTGTGTCATCTTAGTCTTATTTTTTATATATTCATTTTAATCTATTTGAGTGTTTATAATTTTCTGCCTTTTGCTGCCACCAATAACAATAATAATCAAATATCCTGTCTCAATTATATATTTTTTTCTATTTTCATGTCAATAAAACACACAGATACACACACATGGATACTGTACATATAGATTATATTTATATGCATTATATATTTATTGAAATAAGCTTAAGCAATGAATATCAGTCCAGACTTTATATAGACTGCTAGAGTTACAGCATGAGGTCGGGGCAGTTTGATAAAAATAATAAAAACAAAAAATTTAAGATGAACGTGCTGACGTAAAAACTGCCGTCGCGACCAGGAAGTGACGTCGCGGCCTCCGTCAGACTGTTGATGTTGTGGACTGGTCGGCCGGAGAACGGGAAGACGGAGACGCGTTTTGTTTTTGTTCAACTAAACCGTCGAAAAGGAGCCGAGTCGTCGCTTCTGTCGTCCGTTTCGGTTCGCTAAGAGCCTTAGCTCGGTGATTAGAGCCAAACGGCCGGGCCGGAGGGCGAATACACCGAGACATTTGATCTAGAAAGGGAGGACTCTTCACCCTCTGACCCCCTCCCTGCCTCCCTCACACGCTCACCACCATGACGATTCTCCCGAAGAAGAAGCCCAGCTCGGGGGTCGGCGTTTCGGACCACGCCGATGACAGCGATCGTCGGAGCGGCTCCGACCCGCACCAACACCCGCACCCACACGCAGGGAGGACCGGAGCTCGGCCGAGGGCTTCACCTCCGCCGTGGTCCTACCAGCCCGCTCCGCCCTCCGCCAGGGACGACAGGCGGAGCATCGAGGCGAGCTCCCGGCCGCAGCAGGCCTCTCCGCCGCCCGTCGGCTCGGTGTCCCCCGTAGGACCAGGAGACGGTCGGGACAGCAGCGGCGGGATGGTGGCCGGGACGCGCGGGGAGCTCGTCGTGTCGGCCGGCGTCGTCGGATGCGGTGGAGGCATCGGCAGCTGCTGCTCTGGGCCCGGACTGAGCAAGAGACGGCGGCAGGCAGGCACCTGCTCCGGTGGGGTGGTGGCGGCTCTGGCCGGCGGAGGCCAACCCGGGGTAACCGGACCGGGAGTAGTGGGGTCCAGCCAGGACACGGAGGAAGGAGCCGGGAACAACAGCGAGGACGAGTATGAGAACGCCGCCCGGCTGCAGTCCATGGACCCGGCTACCGTTGAGCAGGTAGGAAGCTAACGTCAGCTAACACAACAGCAACAAGCGAGAACCAATGCTAATGCTACCGTGGCTATACAGATGGACCAACTGTAAACGTTTCACTCCGAGTTTAAATACGATTCATCAGGTTTATCGAGGTGACACGAGAAAACAACATTAAAACAATAAACAGACCGTCGAGAGACGTTCTCAAAACAAAAACAAGTGATTTACTCACAATATGTTTTAAATAAACGACGACTGTTCCAGTTTGTTTGTGTGTTCAGCAGTTAAATAACATACATGTGAAATATTTAAAATCATACGTGTGTTCGTCTCAAACACAGTTCAGGACAACAGTTTAACCACCTCTCATTCACCTGCAGGTAACCATAGCAACATGAGTGATGCTAGAGTTAAGTGAGTGGTGAAACAAACCTATAATCACTGAGTTAAACTGATCAGAGATACATAGGATTTAAACACAGCAGACCTTTGTTCACACAGGGACAATAACCAGCTGTCCAGGTGACCCCCAGCTGTCCAGGTGTTAGCTTGGAGGGGCTCAAACACAAATCAGATACATCGTACAGAATGTTAATTTAATGATGATTGATTTTCACTTTTATGTCATAATGAGATATAATAAGGAGTCGCAAAAGCGGTGCACAATACAAACCATATCCATGTAGAAGCCAGTTATTATCAAAATTCAGGTCAATAGTTTAACCACCTTTCATTAACCTGCTGGTAACCATAGCAACAGGGCTGATGCTTCAGACTGTGTTTTTAGTCTTTTTTTTTAGGATAAAAAAAGACTAAACTTGCTGCTTTTCTTTGTTTTGATTCACATTAAATTGAAGCTCTTTGGGTTTCACCTTAGACTCTGAAAACCATGGATGGACATTTTCACAGTTTTCTTATCTTTTAAAGCAGTTGGTCTATTACCTTTAATTGTACTATTGAAAATAATCTGTAGTTCCAGCCCCAGAACAAATGAACCTTGGTTAAACTGACTACAGACACAGGATATAACATATCCACATTTGTTCCTTTGGTCTGTGGACCTGATAGAACAGAAAGTGATCTCTGTCCAGGTGGAGATGATAACGTGCACAGAAATATGAACACCTGTTGTTGACGTGCACGTGTCCAGACAGCCATAAACTCAACAACAGAAACTTCTCAGTCTCACTCTATGTTGTCTTTTCTGTGGTTTATGGTTTTTATTTTGACAAAAATTAATTTGTAGAGGTTAAAGAGATTATTGAAAAACATCAATTTACAGAAAAATCACCACGTCAATAAAAAGAAAATACTTACATGTTCTATTGTAATTAGAAACATTTTAAAAATTAGAATAACTCACACATTAAAACTCAACATTAAAACTCTAAATAATCAGCATCTGCCTGTTCAAGGTTTTTAAACCTGACATAAAAGAAAGTAGAGCTGAAAATAAAACAACATTTTTTACATTAAATGTAATCAGAAACTCTGTAATCAGAGTATTGATTAACTTCAAAAAAAGTCATTTTAAAGTAAAACCTCACTTTGTTCTCTGGTGTCAGTTTCTGTGTCTTAGATTTTATATCAGTAACCAGAGCTGCATTAATTGATCAGTCACTCAACAGAAAATTAATAAGCATCTATTTTGATAATTGACTAATGGTGTCAGTCAGTTTTATAAACATTTTATAAATGGAATAATCAGCCAACAAAATAATTGTCAGAAAATAATCATAAATTGAAGTCTCACAGTCGCTGAGTCTGTTTTGGTTTTGGACAAAAGACGTTTGATGACATCACTTCAGACTTTGAGGAACTATAGATGACATTTTGACTATTTTTATAAACTAATCGATAATGAAAAAAATCCACAGTAAATAAGTGTGTGAGGATGGGGAGGAAACATTTACAGGCTAAATTATCTCTGTCATAGGACACTTTGATCATGGACATGTCAGAGCTGCTGTCACATATTTTCCTCTGGTGAAAACTGAAGTTGAATTTTGTAAATGTGTTTACATTCATATTTGTACCGTGGTTGTGATCAGGTTTGTTAGTGATGTGTACGTACACATGTAAAAATCCTCGTTTCAGAAACTTCAATTATCTTCTCTGAGAGCTCGGAGGACTCTGATAGAAACTGAGATGTATTCAAACACCAGCTTTCCTGGTCTCTGTCGTGTTCACAGCTGTGTCATAAAGTCAAGTTAATACTTAGTCTTTAATACTTAGTTAGTAAAATGAGAGCTATGATGCAATGCTGATCTGTTTCTGTGAAGTGAAAGTAAAAGTCTGACAAGAGTAATACAGAAGATGAAGTGTACTGTTGAAGAACTAAATCTTGTAGTTGTGAATCCAGCAGCCACAGTTGCATCAAATATCAAATTATAACCCAATGTCCAAAAAAGTGTAAAGTCAAACCTGAGTGAAGTCTTGTTTCCTCCTCTGCTGCTTTGTGTTGATGGAGATAAACAGCTGGTGGAGCTGATTCTCGAGATGCTGCCATCAAACCACAGAAGAAGATGAGCTAATTAACAGATCCAGTCAAAGCTCAGACAATGGAAACATGTGGAGAACATGATGGAATGTAAATGTGAGGAGGGTTCAGCCTCCTCATCAACATCGCTCCACACATAGCTGATGTTTCCTCTGTTCATGCTTCATGTACGAGTTTATTCATGAAGTCTGTTTCACTTTGGTTTTTTATCCACACAACAACAAACACTGATCTTGACTCGACAGATTTTTTGTTTTTTATTTACATATTGAAAAGGTTGATAAACACAGGTCGATGTAAACATACCTCAGTTCACCTGTCCAGGTAACTCCGTAAGTTCAGTGAGCTCACCTGTTCTGACCAACAGTTAAAACCTTTATTGTGATATAAAACTGTTCTGTGGCTCTGAAGGAGAGCGTAGCTAAATGTCTCTGTTCTGTGTTGACAACAAAAGAAACACCATCATTTCAGAAAACACATGTTCTACTCAGCTCTTTTCTGGAGGCACAGTTGTGACGGTTTGTAGCTCTGTTAACAATCTGAATGGTGCTGATTGGAGACAGATGAGGATTTGGATGATCACACCTGAGGTGGTGCGTTTGATCTAGCAATGTATGGATTTCAGTACTGAGAGAGCCTCAGCTCAGGATATCAGGTGGTACAGAGAGTCCTAAAACCTGTGACCTTACTGTGTGGAGGAGACTGGAGTCGGTAAAGGGATAAGATATTCCCCCAGTGGGGAAATTTGCAGTGTTACAGCAGCAAAGTGGACAGTACAAAAAAAAAGAGAAACTGCAAAATGTCAATATAAAATACTGAAAAACAAGATAAATAATAGATAGTAATATAATATGTACAATTACATATTTAGAAAATATTAAAAAAAAAAAACGCAGCAAAAACAATAACACTGGATTTATTGTTGACACAAGTCAGATTTCAGCCTCTGCAACACTAGACAGGTGTAGTACACGACGAGACTGTTTGGTGCCGAGACCACATCCCTGTTCATGAGGTCAGTGTCCATACTACAGCTGCACGATATGCAAAAAAAATATTACTTATTGTGATTATTTTGGGATTTGGATTGCGATTTCAGTTTGAATGGTCGTTTTTAAATTCAATTTTCACAAAAATTAAAAAATGATGATGATGTAATTTTTGTTGGGTCTTGTACCAGACATACATGTTCCTTTTCATCTGGAGAATATGATTTGTAGACGGGGGCATCTCTGTAGCACAACAGATGGTACTTACAATGCACAACAATGTTGTGACACATTTTGACTTTAATCAAAAAAGTTGCAGCTCCTGCCGTTTTTTGGGAAATTGCACTTGGCCATAGTGTGATTTCGATTACATTTCAATTAATTATGTAGCCCTAGTCCATACAGATCTACGTTATTACTACTTACATGGTATATTCTCTTCTTACAGTGCGAGGCTAATACAGTTCAAAACATTGTCTTCAGTCTTGACACTGATGATGAGATTTACTCTTTAGGTATCAAAAATTGTTGTCGAATAACAAAGTATTTTTGATCCTCAATAGATTCAAACAAATTCAGTCACTCCATAAAAGTTCAGTACCCAGTGTCCACAACCCAGATTGTGGACACAACTCAAAGTGACCAAACTGTGAGATACAATGTTCAGATTTTTCTCTGAGATGATGTTGATGTTCAGACGTCTCATCATGTGAGTCACATCATTTAAGGTCCTACCATCAGACTCTCTGACTGGATGCTGTGACAGTTCATTTTAAAGTGGAGATCATATGCTTTTCCAGGTTTAACACCTGCACTACACATCTGTTTGGTGCTTTAATCAATAATCAAAACTACCAAACACTTCATTCATCCAGCTGCTCAGATGTGAACAGTTCTTCATGCCCTTTGATTGTAAACTTAGTGTCTTTGTGTTTTTGACTGTTGGTTGGACATGATGAGACATTTAATGTCATCACCTCAGACCAAATGATTAATTGGTTAATTGATAAAAACATTTCAGATTATTTGATAATGAAATAATTTTAAATCACAGCCTTAGAACGGTTAACATCTCTGGGACCGGAGAGAAGGAATTCTGGGTAGTGAAGTCTTTAGCTGTCCTGGCCCAGTATATGGCTGACCCTCCGTGTGTGTGTGTGTTCAGCAGGAGCACTGGTTTGAAAAAGCTCTGAGGGAGAAGAAAGGCTTTGTCATCAAGAAGATGAAGGAGGACGGAGCGTGTCTGTTCAGAGCCGTGGGTAAGTGATACACACACACACACACACAAACACACACACACTAGGTCTAAAAGACTAAAAAATCATGTTGTGATATCATGATTTCGGTTAATGATAATAAAAAACATAAAGATGATAATGATGTGATTTTTGTTGGCAAACAACCAGTTCTTTTACATCTGTAGAAAATGATCTGTAGACCGGGACATCTGTAGCACCACAAAGCTTCATCTATAATGATCTGTTGTTGTGGCACATTTTAACTTCATCAGAAAAACTGCAGCTCCTGTGATTTGGATATTTCACTTGGCCATATTGGGATTTCAATAATATTTTGATTCATTGTTCAGCTCCAATTAACATGTAACTCTGCAGTTCGTCTGCTCGCCAGCAGGTGTCAGTGTTTAGCTGCTGTTGGACTGTGTTGTGTTTTACTGAACATGTTTCCATCTGACTGACAGACAAACCAACAACCAGTCACCAGCTCATTTATATCCTCATATAACTGTAACGTCCACGGCTCTTGGCTGGAGGAGTGTGTCACATGAGTCCCTCTTAAGTTAAGATAGTTTAATCTTTAAAAGAAGAATAAATCAAACTGACTTGACGTCATCAGCTGTGTGTTGTCAGGCCTCTGGTCTTTAGTGGTCGTTCAATTATTGTGGGTTTAGGTTTGTTTGCTTTAGTCAGTGTGGTGTTATTGATGTGCAGGTGAACAGGTTCAGGTGCTTCTGTTTTGTTGAAAAGTTCTTCAGAATAAAACCTTTTGAATGGCATCTCTGTGACTATACTGTGTACTATATGCAAATAGTACAAACTGGACAGATGTCTCTTTGCCTTGTTTACTGTTTCACAGCACCTGGATGAGTCAGTAGAGGGATTAACCTGTAAACAGGTGTCTGTACAAACCCATCTGATTTTCTGTTGAACCTGTTTTTTATTGTGTGAATGTGAACAATGATGAGATGACCTACATCACTGAGCACTGACAGGAAATTGCCGCTGTGACTCCTCACTGACAGCAGGGGGCACTGTGTGTGTGTGTGTGTGTGTGTGTGTGTGTGTGTGTGTGTGTGTGTGTGTGTGTGTGTGTGTGTGTGTGTGTGTGTGTGTGTCAGGGTGTGTGTGTGTCAGGGTGTGTGGTGGGAAAGTATGTTGAAATGTGGGTCACAGTGAAAGATGAGGGTTCCTGTGTCTACCTTTAGGACAGACACGCACTCACACACATGCACACACACACAGACACAGAGGTCCATTCAGTAGAGTCCAGGTTGTGTTTCAGATAACAGCTATTATGTTGCTGCAGTTATGTCACTGCACTGACCTCAGCCGTGTGTGTGTGTGTGTCTGTGTGTGTGTGTCTGTGTCTGTGTTGTACCTGTAAGCTCACACCTGTCTTCCTGTTGTTGTGTAATAAGGTGTTTATTGAGTTTTCATGTTAAAGTCGGAATCCTGTAGCGGGTCTGTTTTGTGTGAATTGGACTGAACCCTCCTCTACCAGGTCTTGGTCCAGCTGTTCAGTCCACATCAGTCGCTGTAGCTGGTGCGTTCAGAGCAGTTAAAATTATTGTGTTGTGTGTATCCTTTGTGTTTTTGTTAGTTCAGTTCATATTGATCTCACAGTAACACTCGTCCTATGATTGATCAGTATAATTGATTTTCAGTCTAATGGCACTAATAAAGCTACAGTCATTTCTGTGTGAGCTTCTGTCGACAGCAGAGAAGATGAATGAACATAAACACAGTAGAAGCAATCGAGACTGACCTGGAGTCAGGATGTGAATCTGATGGTGCAGGATGACATCCCGCGAAAACCGACCAATCACTGACTTAGCTGTCAGTCAAGTGACTTCATGTTTACTCCTCCAGTTTTGTTTATAAAAAGTCAGTGTGAACATAGACTGTCCACATTTAAACTAAAATGCTACAAATGCAGCATTTTACCCAGCATGCTTTGGGAGCTCAGTGTCAGGGCGGCTCAGACAGCTGCTGCTGTATCATGTACTGTACGTGTAAATGTTGGAAATGAGGCCACTGTAAAATTCACTCAGGTGTTTTGGGAGAAGGAACAAACTGCTGGACAGGTGAGAGCTTTCAGTCAGTGTCAATGGTCATCATCATGAGGAGAACAGTGTTTAGAAAACATATGACGTATTAATTTCTTCATGAAGAAACAGTTTGGGCTCAGTTTGTCTGAAGGTAAAAAGAAGCTTGTTTTTATTGGACAGTTTAACCACACTAAATAAACATTAATACGTAAAACATGTATCTCCAAGAGAGCAGACAGGGGCAGAGTGCTGTGTGATGTTAGAGTTAGTTTTATTATAAAGATATTAGAGTGAAGACAAGTGTATCTGTTGATACTCACTCACACATCACAGCTAAAAACTGAAAACTATTAGTGGACGTTTTCACTCGTGTCAGACAGAGATGGTTGAGGCCTCAGTGTCTGGGTCGACTCCAGGGCTCGTTCAGGTGTCGCTGGACGGACAGACGGACGTCAGTGTTTCTCATTTTCTCTCAGTTCACTTCTGATTCTTTTCACTTCTGTTTTCAGAGGCTGTTTCTTCACTCACTGTTGCATTTCACAGAAATACAAACACACATTCTTTCTCACAAACACACACACACACACACACACACACACACACACACACACACACACAGACACACACTCCCACACCTGCCTACCTGAAACAGAAAGTGGACAGTGAGGTGTAAAAACACTTTTGAGACATCAAACACTAAACAACAACATTTGTTCAAGTGTGTGTGTGTGTGCGTGTGCGCGTGTGTGTGCGTGCGTGTTGCAGCCCCTCTGTCCGTCTCTGCTGCAGTGAACATTTCAGGTCAGTGTTTCCCGCCCTGAGGGTTGCGATGATTTCCAGACACTGTGGAACAGAAAAAACTAAATTCTGCTTTTCTGATCTTCCTTTGATATTATAGAGAAAAACATCCAGGGGTCACAGCTCATTCTCCCTGACACCAGAGGCCTCAGGTCAATTCAGTACAGTTACATTAACAGTAACACTGAATTGAACATTTGAGGTAAATGTGGTTTATGTGTGTACTTTGTCCCAGGGTTCATAGTTCTCTGTGTTTCATTAGTTCACTCACTCAGGTGGAGGCAGCGTTCATTGTACTAAGTGTAGTAGCTATGACTAAAGAAACAGAAGAAGAAACTTTGTCCTGCACATGTGTATGTATGCACACACCTTCTCTCACCAGCCCCTTTTTAAACAGAGATCCCACTATATTCCTGTTAATCAGACCCTCGTTTTGCCGCCTTTTCTCCTTCACACTGAACCAAGCGCAGCTTCGTGCTGCCTCAGTGTGTGATGTCAGAGCAGGTTGCCGTTCAGGAATCAGAGACGTAACAGTGTATGCGTCTGTTCCGACATGACAGCTCTCGTCTTTAACGCAGACGTCGGTCCGACTCTGTGATGACCTCTGCTGCCAGAACGATGAGGAGGATGTGAAGTTTTTACTGATGTTAATTACTTTTCAAATTAAGACTCCAGAGCAACACTACAGATGAGACCAGCTGAGACTCTCTGTGTACTGTTACTACATTACTACTGATACTTCGACTACATGAAAATCACTACATGAACACGTGCACCTTTACTGCAGTAGGTTTTGAATGCAGGATTCTTCTTGTACTTGTGTGTCTGCTTGGTTCAGTGAAGGCTGTGATAAGTTGTTCCTCTGCTGTAAACACAGATGGGTGTGTTTCCTGTGGTCAGGTCACATTCCTCCATGACACCTGGTCGACATTCCGATCATCTGTCTGGGGGGTTTGGTCCAGAGTGAGACATCTCTACAACAATCAATCAGCACACGCTCAGCTCCTGTTCTGTCTGATGCTGTAGTGAAGGGTGTGTGATGACTCGTGCAGCCCGTAGGAGGTGCTGCTGTCAGCTCCTCACAACCGTGTTGCTGTCTCTAAATGCAAATGAAGCATGTGTGATGTTCAGGGTGGTGGTGACACTCGTCCACCTGTTGTTGTCTCTCAGCTGGTTCCTGCTGATTAACATCACACACACACACGTGATCAGCTGATCCACACACACCTCACTGCATATCAACACTGTTGCTCAGTAACAATCAACAAATAACAGTTTGCAAGAATCACAAAAACTATTTGGACCTCACTACAATTACAGCTGCATCCATTAGTTGATCAATTGATCAATAGAACATGAATTGGAAACTATTTTCATAATCAAATAATGGTTTTAATTATATGTTGAAGCTGAAATACCAAATCTCCGCTGCTTCCAGCTCATCAATATGAAGGTTTCATGTTTTCCTGTGTGACACTGAACATCTTTGGTCTCTGGACAAAACAAGACATCTGAAGATGTTACACTGATGTGGGAAATATAAAAAACAGTTTTTGCTTTTGTTTGACACTTTATTGACAAATCAGTTAATTGACCAATTGACATAATAATCAGCAGGTTAATCAGTGATGAAAATTATCAGTAGTTGCAGACCTACACGATGCTTTACTTTTATTTTCTCTGATGTTTTCACCTCACACATGAACAGAGACATTACAGGTAAAACATGAGACTCGTGTTGGTGTGGAGCAGAAGAAGCTTCAGTAATGATGCAGAGTTTTTATAAAAATGAAAAACACTATGATGTATTTAAAACACCATAGTGAGACGTCTCCCATCAAGATCCGTGCTAACATGAACAGAGACTGAATGAATGAAGGGAAACATCATCAGTTTATTACAAAAGCCCTGCGCTCAGAAGAAGATTAAAGTTCAGCGTGTGTGTGTGTGTGTGTGTGTGTGTGTGTGTGTGTGTGTGTGTGTGTGTGTGTGTGTGTGTGTGTGTGTGTGTGTGTGTGTGTGTGTGTGTGTGTGTGTGTGTTAGATACAGTAAGTCAGATGTGGTTGTTGGGCACGTCTCCTGCTTCAGACCCATTGAGCAACCTCTGATTGGTCAGACACGTGTTCCCAGCGTGCTGATAACTCCCAGCATGCACTGCTGCTGGTCATGCTTTA